AAGGTCTTCATTGATTTTTATTGATTCCGCTCATGGAATCCATATGTCACTTTCAAGGGTCTGTTCTATTAGCATCTGTGTTACGTCTGTGTGCTAAATGGTTGCGACACTAATTAATCCAGGTTGAGATTTGTGCTTCAGTGTTATTCTTCAGTTGTGCTGAACTGTGTAATGCTCTCTATGGTTCTCTGTAGTATCATTTGGATTTTGACAGGAAAAGTGAGATTCTCTGGATGATATTCTTCTTCTTCATTTGTTTCAAGAGCTTGCATAAAAGGTTACCATTGTTACTTTTTGAAATGTTTCATCAAGCTGTGTCGAGCTGTTACTCCTCAGAGTTGAATCACACTTCTTACATGTGTATGATGTGTATAGAGTTATTTTGCTAAAGTTTGATGCGTTTAGTTATTTGTCTCATGCAATTAGTAGTGATAATTGTTGCTCATACTAAGTTCATTGGTGTTTCCTTTACGAACGTCTCATTACTAAGACAGACACGAGATTCATTAACGAGTCTCCAAGGAATCCTCATTTCCTGGTACACTATGACAAGTGACAACAGCTATTGGATTCATCAAAGGGTTTCCCTCTCACCGACTGACTCGTAGCCTGTTCAGACTAAGGTGTATCTAATTTTGATTGCTTTGTTTACCGTCAAATGTGTTGTAGTGGCCTCCTCTCTGTCCATGCCTCCAGTTTACCAGTGGTACATGTATTCTTAATTTTTCCATCTTTGAAGAGTTACCTGTCTAGAAAGGTCACCTGTGTCAGGTTGGCCAATTTTTCTGTATCATACACAATGGCTTGTATGAACAGGTTTTGAGTGTGCTTCTAACACTACAGAGTTTGACCCTGTGGTCTCTTGTATCGTTCATCTACATGTAGAAAGAAATATAAGGAGTAGAACCTGTGTAGAAAGATCTCCTGTCTACAGTGGACACTTTCCTGTGTATCTTCTGTGGTCCTTATAGACAGGTTTTGAGTATATGCTTCTTACATTACAAAGTTTGACCATGCAGACTCTTGTATTGTTCATCTACATGTAGAAGGAATTATATGATGCAGAACCTGTATAGAAGGATAACCTGTCTCCAGTGAACACTATCCTGTGTATCTGTTGCAGTCTTTATAGACAGGTTGGGTCTGGTCTTGTACTATTGTGTTGCATTTGCCTTATTCTATTTCCCCTCTGCCTTCTCTTTGGTGAAATCTGGCATCTTGGGAATTTTCTTCAAGACACAAATTTTGTTTATCAGACATGGTCCGACCTGTTGTGCTTATTGCTGTAAAACTTTGAAGGCTATATAGGGTTTGATTACCTATAATTATTTCACCTGTCTCTTCTTCAGTGTTTGCCTTATTGGTGCATTAAACACAACATGTTATTTGGTAAAGTATCTGTTTACGCATACTTTAGTGAATGGTTTTCATTGGGGCTTTTGTAAATTAGTTTCAGGGGAAAAATAGCAGATAATTTGATTCTTTAAGGCACTATTTAACTTTTGAAAATGCATGTTAAAAAATGTTAATGGTATGAGGTCCCTTCGTAATGGTTAGACTCAATGATATATCAATGACTTCAGGGTTTCTTGGACCATTGCATAACAAAATTTGTTTATCTTTTATGAAATGCAGTTTTTTTTTATCCTCACTAGATGATGCATTCTCTAGAAACTTCAGGTATTTTTTTAACAACTCTTAAACAAGTTGATAAACAATTCAGCTACTTTTGTTACCATTTCAAAATTGTGAAAAGTACGAAAGTAGAACATTTATGCGAACAGAACAAAGCTAGGGATTTTTTTATCTTTTATTTTTTAATTTATTTTTTAATTGCTTTGTTAACTTGTAATTCCTTTTGATGGGCTGGCATCACAAAAGAGAGCTTGGATGCATCTTAATTCAAGTATATCCCCAAAAGCATCTGCACAATAATTGTCACAAGACTTCTCCTGGAAGTTACACAGTTCCTCTTCTTGTTAGGAATCATATCGTCGCTGTTTTCACGAAGTGACGGAAGTGAAAAAAAATTGCATTCACTTTGCGTTACGATTTTCCTCACTACCGTCACTTCGTGAAAACAAGGACGATATTGCCATTCTAGAGGAAGGCTGAGGTCACAGTCTTTTTGCACTGTCAACATTCAAAATCTAACTTTTAAACAAACTTAATGAGAACCTGTTTAGCAGTTATTCTTTTTTTCTTCTGGATAGCAACTGATTCTCAATCAATCATGCAGGAAGTCGTTGATGAAGTGTCGTCTGAAAATATTTGCACCAATGTTTACCAACATGTAGCAATCACTTGGATTGTACCCTTCATTAGTAGGTCAGTTCTTAACCCCTGGAGCTTTCGACAAGGGAGGAAGTTTGTTGATTGAACGTCTCCATGTTTAACCAATTGTATATGATGAAGGATTTGTGGACAAACGATTGCTGCGACAAAACCATAAACTTTGTTCTATTTGTGGAAGGTAATAAGAAGTTGTCATCTCACCAGTCACTCTTGTAAAAGTGGAAGATACCTTATGTTCTGTACCAAGGTGTATGAACTTGATGTACCAACCTGCTCGTTGCTGTGACTGCAAACGAGCAGTTTGGATTTACTGCTGAAGGCTATTAGAAGGTGTTATTATTATGCCAATCACTAACTTAATCTTGCAAGACATTCAGTTCGTTACCCAGGTGTGGGAAAGTAGGCACCAGTGGTCAATGTGACTGAACCCAAGCAGCTTGGTTATATTTGGAAAGTTATTTAAACTGCTATCATGCCAATCACTTACTTAGACTAAGACAATCTGTTCTCTACTTAGGTTTAGGAATTAAGGTACCAGGCAGTGGTTAGTGTGACTGCACCTAAACTGCTTGGTTTTTTAGTAGAACTTTGTAAGAATATCTGTCATTATGCCTATCACTCAGTTACAGTCACAAGACACCCTGCTCCATGCCAGGTGTAGAACTTGAGGCACCAATTATCGCATTAATTGCTCTACACTCTTTAATATTTCATATTCAAGAAGGGCATATTGAAACCTGTCATTACGCCAATCAAGGCACGTTCATGTGGATTTGACTTGCCTGGAAGTACCACGTGCACAGGAAATTGATGTCGTTTGAGCGGCAACCTCACGTTTCCTCCCAATGTTTCTTTTAGAGTGCTCGCTCGGATCCTTTTCTAATTGTGGCAGTAACTCTCTGCAAACCCCATGCGCACAGCTTGTGGTAAAATCGTTATTGACAGCCGAGAATTCTTTTCTCGAAGCAGTTCATTTCTCAGAGACAGTGAAGAAAAAAAGATTGTATTGCTCGTAGCCTCTGGAGGTAGAGCCGGTTTTGGACAGTCTAGCCTTTGATAGGTTCGGGTCAATGGTTCATTACTTGTGCCTGCTTCTGTTAGGCTAGGGAGACTTGAAAGATATCAACTGGAATCATTTGCTAGCTGTCCATGGGATAGTTTGGAATGATTCCTTCGACCTTCGTCCTTGGTCGTGTATTTTACACATAAATTTTGTTTGTAGTCCAGGAGCTAAGCTGTAAACACTGAACTTGATCCGGCCAAGAATTCATTCCAACCCTCAACGGATCTCTACCTGTGGGACTAGCGACACAGTTTTGGATTAGGGTCTCAATTGCGTCAACTGTGATTTGTAGACGATACAGGATACCAATCTTCCTTTCTCAAAGTCCAGTATGATATTCTGACTATTACAGAACGGTTCTATATTTGTGGAATAAACCAAACTGATTCTCCAGAGACAGCATTTATGGAATATAAACATTCAGTTTTTGGAAGCTTCGTGGATAACTAAGTGCCATTTGTGAGGAATAACTTCACGCATCACGTTTGTGATACTTGCCCATTATTGGATTAAGCTTGTTCTTGCCAAGTGATCGCTACGATCATGTCGTACGGAGGCTATGGCCGCTATGGCTCAGGGAGCTCAGGATCCTCCTCGTACACTCCAGGAAGTGGATCCAGGTATGGGTCCACGACTGGGTCCGGGACAGGGAGCCGACTAGGCTCCACGGGGAGCTACACTCCAACTTCATCCGTAAGCAGCTTTGTTTCTCCCTCTGTTTCATATCATCTTTTCAATTCTTTTTCCTCTCATAATACTTTTTTTTTCTTCAGCATTCTCTCTCTCTCTCTCTCTTTCTCTCTCTCCCTCTCCTCTCCCTCCTCAGTGAATTGTGTGATTCCTATTTCATACAAGGGCTTCAAGTCTATCTATCTATTCTTATAGCAATTTATCAGGATAAATTTTTGTTTTCTTGTCTATTCTACCAATTAATGCAATGTTACTGTGACATACCACATGCATATTCAGTGCAGATATGTACCGGTATTGAATGGAGAAAGATTGTGAGTTCATGTTGTCATTGTGAATTTTTTAACTGTTGTAGTCTGGTTGATAATGGAATAATGTTAATCTATGTTGATGTCATCTGTTGTTTGGTATGTGCAAATCGGTTGATGCTGCTTTGTGCCTCCAAATCAAGATTTGTATGGATTGTTGAAAAAATATATATATACTCTTTTTCTTCAAATATATGCTTTTTAGATTCATAGTGGTAGTCAAATTAGCAGCAGTAGAGGATACATGTTTTGATTGTGAAAGTGAGCTGCTTGTCGCAGTAGAAATAACACAGCAGTGATTATGTTTATGTTTTTACCATGTATTAAATGTATTTAATCAGGAAATGTGCATTGCAAATCGTGGAAAGCTTCTTCTGTTCCGAAGAAGGACTTTAATTGTTTTTTTCTCACCCCCAATTTTTCCTTCCTTAATAACAGGATGATGACAATTATAGTTAATTATTAAGCGAATGCTTCCACAACAGTCCTTGTTTTTTTTCTCAAAAGCACTCTTTCTTCTATTATCATTGCCTAAGTTATTCATTCTAATGGCAATACATGTGTAATACACATGCTTTCTGTCTTCAATGTTATTCGTGTTCATAAATTAAAAATCTGAAATCTAAAATGCATTTTTCCCTCAGAGTCGCCGACCGTCTCCTCTGTATTCCTCTTATGTAAGCATACCTGACAAATTTCCTTTCAGCAAATATCTTCCACCTCGACCATCTATCTAAACACCTCGTACATAATCCTCACCGTCCTCGTGTTTGTGGCTAGTCTGTGTTCCAGTCTGAATGTCTTGTTTATCACTTATATTTAGCCACATCTAGTATGACATGTACAATGTTTCATCGGTGTATAATTATATTGGAACATCATACATCTTGTGTTTATATACATTGGGTACATTTATTCTTTAGATATGGTAGTTGTAATTGCCCACTAGAAATCATTCTGTATTCAGTTTACACATTGTGAGACTCTAATTCTCTATAGTCTATATAATACATACTTCAGGAGATATATTGCCTCTTTTATCACCTGAGTTGAGTCTTTTAAATTTAGTAGTGAATTAAACAGACTATAAAAGTATCAACATCATTTTGTACATCGTCGGCGAAGAGCCACAATAATGACAATTTTAAGACATTCAGCCTGAAACAAAGCTATTAATGCTCTCCCTTATGCTTCATTTCTGCCCCCCCCCCCCTGCATAGGCTTACCGGTATGAGTATTAATGGAGGCTGTGACTTTAATGCTTTTTGTCTTTGGAGCCAGAAGGCTGTTAACTCTGTGAATAATGATATGAGTTAAACACCCTCCTGGTTCCAAATAGTCGATGTTGTCTTTAATATCCTTTGTGTTAACCTGTATGATACCACCTAATTTAAGTACAAAAATATGCATCACAACTAGAATATTATGGGATAATGTTATAAAATCTTTGCTTGTGCCCTCAATATTCAACTGGATAAAACACTGTATCCGGTATAAATCAAAATTCACAACCAATGAGCCTATTTTGAAAATTTCTTTACAGATGAGAATTTGTAAAGTCAAGAAATGTCAATGATTTCAAGATGCAATGAATTTCATATCATTTAAAACAAAATTGAAATGTTTGAAAAAGAAATTAAATAGGTTGGCACTTTGGCACTCCATAGATGAATAGCATATGAAAGAAAAGCATGTACACAAATGTATGCAAACTCACTACTGGAAACAGGTTCTAAGTACATCCTTAACTATGAGTCTCATTAGATGAATTATATCAGGTATTTTCATAGAACCCACAATATAAGTGTAGACATCACACATTTCGTCGGCGTTATTATAAGCCAACAAATCTATCATGAATTACTGCACGGATTCGTTGTTTTATAATATTGATGACCATTTGTTGTAGGTGAAACTTTATACAGAAACATTTATATGTTCATTTAATTTGGTGTATCATATATATACTACAGTCTGCACCTATCTCTAGTATCATTATACATGTCTGTGTTGATGTTTTCACACGGCTTCATATATCAGCCTCGGGTATCTAATTCATACTCCATTCAGTATATCACTTTCATTAAGTATGAACACAGCATTTGATCCCCTTGTTGATGGTCTAAACATGGTTCATGGTTGTCATATTCATACTCAGTTCAATATATTAGTATCCTGATGTTTGAACTCAGCAGTTGCTCCATATTTTATAGTCTAACCATGGTCAGTGTCCACACTTTCATGTAGTCTGAACAAAGCATTGGATCCTTCTATGAATTCTATGGTCCATTCGGGTCACATTCACACTATACTCTGTGCATTTTCTTTAATTTAGTGTGAACAGAATGTTAGATCCATGTAGTAATGCTATGGTTATTGAAAGCCATATTCACACTTGCAGTATTTTACTGTCTTGGGATCTCATCTCAGCATTACTACTATTTGTTGACGGTCTCTCCATGGTTCATAGGAGTCACATTAACACTCTGTTCAATGTATTTAGTATTGTAGTCTGAACAAGGCGTTATATCCACTTGTATATTCTATAGTTATTTAGAGTTGCATTCACACATTAGCCAGTGTTTATACATATATGTATCATGTATACATCAGTGATTCAAGACCAAAGTAGATCTCTGTTATTTATTTAGTATATAATTATACAGCCTGAACATTCCATTATACCATATACATGTATATGTTGATGCACAAAAGACTAGTGTAACTATTATGAAAGGGGAAGTCCACCCTGATATTTAGTTGGTTTTAATAGAAGCAGAGAAAATGGGAGAAACATGTCGTGATATAGTCTAATAATGATTTAATCTTAAATGATAATAACCATCAAATGGTTATTAGACCAAATGAACAATATACCAAATGAGTACCATAGTCCACTTTCTGGAGATTAGACCAAACGACCATTAGCCTAAATGATCATTAGACCAAATGATAAGTAGACACAATGATTATTAGACCATGTGGATAGTAATCGGGCTGAGTGTAGACCAAATGGGAATAGACTAATTGGGTAGTAGATGAACTGGTTCTAGACCAAATGGCAATTCACCTCTCTATAGCTAGTCACGGTTGAAGGTCGAGTCTTGACAAAAAGGGCTTTATTAATTTACCCACCTGCTCCCAATTCTAAGGATTTGTTATGAATACCGGTACCTACTCAAAGGCATCGTTTAACAATGTTAAATCTAACATGCAGGGCCCTACGTGTTGTCAGTGTCTGTGATCAGGGGGGTGTTTCACAAAGATCCTAAGTCGATCTTAACTCTAAGTTGGACTTAACAATTATGGAAAGCCGTTGGCATCTTTGAAAATATTTTGTACAAGTTTTTTTAGAAGGCATAAAATGTAGATTCAAATCATTCATATTTTCTATTATCATGGGAGATTTCATGTTCTTGATGTGGAATTTATAAAAAGTCAAAAATTCTTGAATTTTGTATTATGAATATATCTTATTTTAAGGCTACAAATGGCTCTCCATAATATTTAAGTCCAACTTAGAGTTAAGTTTGGCTTAGAATCTTAGTGAAACACCCCCCTGGTGTAATATTGAAGCCCTAAAAAATTTGCACTTGAAAATGATCATGAAGTGCCTCAAAAAAGTAAAAATCTTTGAGTGACCGGTTTTACAATACTCGTTTTCCCCAATAGACTGCAGTGTTATAAAAACTTGTTGGGAAAACAAAAGATGAAATTTTGATTTCCAATCATAAATATCTTGATAATCAGACAGGCGATCAGCTTGTAAAATTCATGGAATTCCTGACTGACCTAAAGATTTATAATTATCAATGCAGCATGAGCTAAATTCAGGATTTTGTTTCAGAATCTGAGACAAAGTTACCCAATCCCTTTAAAGTAGATACATTTGCGAATGTGTGAAGAAATATAACCAGCTATTGAGATCAGATATGAATTAGTAAGCACCAGTATAATTTTTATCATAATAATTCTTTGAACACCTGTTTATTTGCGTATTAAACTGGAAGACTAATTGGTGTATTTATACACCTAGCAGAGTGCAAGAATTTGTAATCTTGATGGTACTTTTCTAGGTCATAATTATGATAATAGACACAACCTAGTTTTTGACATTTGAATGATACGACAAGTAGAAGAATGCAAGGAGCCTAGTGGATGATCAAAAGAAAATATGACGAAGATAGGGTATGAGAAGGCACAAGCTGTATAAGTTATTAAAATAATCATCTCACCATAGCTATTATTATAAAACTACAAGAGTTATTGGCTGTTTATATAGAACCAAAGTGACGTAAACTCAAATAATTTCTGACATAGTTTGGGTCCTTTTGGCTCTCAGAGAGACGAAATGATCCCTTTTTTGTTTTGGGTGTGAAATTTATGAGTCATACGGCTGTGAAAACATTTTAAAGTTCCAGCAAAGAAAAGAGACGGTGCATACCTTTACAATAATGGAGCTACCGGTGTTTGAGAATGTGTATGTAGCGCCTTTCTTTTTAGAAATGGCTCTCGAGGAAAAAGAGCTTGAACCGAGGGCGCAAGGTGTGGAAATATTTCTGCGGGAAAGGTCTGACGTTCGGAAAGACCTGCTGCTCTTGCACAATGCAAGATTCCCGCTGTCATCACAATAGCTATTGTTAGAATAATATCTAGGTCTGCAATCGTGACATGCAAGGATAAAGGATGGAAGTATTGCATTATAAGTGGATAGTTTCGATAAAGCTACAGCCGTTAAGAGTTCTTGTGTGTACGGGTAAGCAATTGAAACCAAGAAGACTTGTTTGAATATTAATCTTACTCCACAAAGAAGAGTCCTTGAGGATTGTGGTCCCTAGTACATCTCTAATACTAGCTTGTTATAGAGAGCTCTGCGGGATTAGTTCTCATATTTTTGGAGGATGATAGAAGTGTGGTTTTTCCAGCGCAGTATAGACACATACTGAATGTTGGTGGAGTGTATACATCATTGGATTTAAACTTGAGGAAGGCCTGCTTTGTCTCACAATGGATTTAATGGAAAATTATGATGATGATGATGATGATGATGTTTTCTACGAAAGCGATGATCCAAATATTTATCAGGTGAGAGTTAATATCATTGCCAAAGATTTATTCTTATTACTTCTTTAAGTATAATTTTGGGTGGGGGTTTGGTTTTTTTTTTTTTTTTTTTTTTTTTTTTGGGGGGGGGGGGCACATATTCAGTGATTAGTTTTTTGTTGAACTGTTGATGCCAAGCCTGACATATCTTGGGTTGAGGCGTATGGGCAATGCTTATACCAAAAGCAAATCATATTGAGCATGTTAGAAATAGGTAAAAAAGAGGTCAGCAGTTGTTTTTACCATTTGTAAGTCACATTGAATGAGCTATCAATATATTACTTCAAGCTGTGATACGTAAGAACGTACATGTACATTTTCCTCATGCCTCATATTTAAGGAAAGCCTACGTTATCTTCTGTTTTAAGAATCCGCAAGAACCCTGGCTGTTTTGGGAATGTTTGTTTTTCACTAGGCAAATACAGTGTATGATTTCTGTGTGTCGCACTTGTAGAAACTCCTGTGCATCTGACGCAGGGACATCAACGTGTTTGTGGATAATCTTGTAGCATACATTTCAAAAGGAAATAACAAAAGCAAACAGAAATCTGTCGAAATGGAGCAGATTTTACCT